TATGATGCAATTCTCAAGGACACAGGATATTCAGTGGGATGAGAATGTAGGATGAAACTTGGTCGGGAATTAATTGGATTGTGAAAAGTGGACCAGACAAACATTTGAATTACTCACAATAAGATCAGTATCTTGTACTGGGTGAAGTAAAGAGGTGATGCAATTCTGAAGGAAACAGGATATTCAGTGGGATCAAAATGCAGGATGAAACTTGGTCGGGAATTAATTGGATTGTGAAAAGTGGACCAGACAAACATTTGAAAACTCGCAATAATATCAGCATCTTGTACTGGGAAAGTAAATAGGGCTGATTTTCATTTCATGTTGACTTTAAAGTTCCTTTTCATTGCTGTTTAGTAGTAGATGCACTGTAGAGTGTCTTTAAAGATCAAGCATTGCTTGGCTGATGGTTTTAGATTTGTGGTTGAATTTATACTAGTCATGAAAAATCATCATAGTGTATGATAATAAAATCAGAGATAGCATCTAAAACAACAATCATTTTCATCAGATATTTACTGCAATACATAAAAACTAGAAAACAGGTCTGAGTGATTAAACTTCTATATTATTCAACTAGATGTACTCACTTGTAATTTTTACAGACTTTGTATTCTTTTGCATAAGTACAAGTATGTTTTCCAAAGCTAAAATTAAAAATAGAAGTGTTAACAGTAGGAGGTAGCTGGCCCTCTTTACTTACTCTCTCGGCTCTCGACTCAGTGCTGTAATTTTACTGTCCCAAGTGCTACTTGTGACGAGCTTTCTGCCCACAATGCCAGCTGCTACCATCTCGAGCCAGATAGACACCTCGTCTTTAACTACGGTGCCATCTCCGTCTAGTCCAACAGTCACAGTCGTACCCACTGCACCTGACCAGCCAGGTAAGAGACCTTCCTGTAAATGTCACAATCACAATTTGTTGACACGTTTGCACTCTCAATGTCTCCCAGTATTAAAGTTTTGATAAATAAATCCATCAGAACTCTGTTCGCAAAGACATTTCAACCTTGAAATAAGCCGTAATATATGCAAGCATGCGTCCATCTATTTAGGTTAGACATTCTTCATTTATTCGGTCTCACTTGTGTTAATAATTGAGAGGTGAAATATTCAACAGGGAGCATGTTTAAAGTCATACATTGAGTTTTGTTCTTTTGCCCTCCTGGTTGTGAGAATGCATACATTACAGTTATTCTATTAGAAGGCACTTTGAATCTTTACTAGCTTTTAAAAGAGCCTAGAACATTTGAATTTGTATGTCTTTATTTATACTATACTGTAGGCCCAGGGTTTACTTCATGGGTAGGATGATTAAAATCTGGCACCAGGTAAAACAGACAAACAGCAAACATTTTTGTTAACTGAAATACAATTCTAAAAAAAAAATTCAGCAAAATTTCTCAATTTCATTTTGTTTTACTTCAAGTAATACATTTGTAAAATGTAAAAAGTACTAAAGTAACTAAAATGTCGAACTAAAATAAAAAATAATCCAACTTGCTTTGAATCTGTACTAGCTTTTAAAAGAGCCTAGAACATTTGAATTTGTATGTCTTTATTTTATACTATACTGTAGGCCCAGGGTTTACTTCATGGGTAGGATGATTAAAATCTGGCACCAGGTAAAACAGACAAACAGCAAACATTTTTGTTAACTGAAATACAATTCTAAAAAAAAAATTCAGCAAAATTTCTCAATTTCATTTTGTTTTACTTCAAGTAATACATTTGTAAAATGTAAAAAGTACTAAAGTAACTAAAATGTCGAACTAAAATAAAAAATAATCCAACTTTATTGAAATATTTAAGATAAAATACAACAGTGTTCAGTAACATTCTAAGATATTCTCTAAACCTGCATATCATTCAGTAAGCAACAGCAAGTAAATGTAAAACTGCACCGTAAAAATTGTGCACAAATATTATAGTGAATCAGGTACAAAAACAACACAGACAGCACAGGCAAGTAAACAAGGCCAATAGCAAGTGAAATACTTCTTAGTAAAATCCCTCCAGTTTCTTTGCTCTCTCGTACCGCACAGGGGACCTTGAGGAAAGTAGTGCATGCAGGGAATCACGCTCCACTGTAATTCCACTCATGATTGATGGCCGTAATGGTGCTCTATATTCTGATCTAAGGTATAGCAGGGTGTGGAGATTAAATATGATTACTGCTGTGCTAAATCACTCATTAATATATATGGGCCAAGGTGCCAAATAACATACCATGTGGCGGCTCCTTAAACTTATGTCTTCTTGAATCAAGCATTGAAGTCAGCAGGGCAGGTGGAGGCTTGCTGACTTGTAGTGTTTTGATGATGTTGCCGTACTGATGCTTGACAAGCTGTTAGCAATTTAAAAAGGCTTTTAGCTGTAAAAATAAATAAATAAATACATGTCAGTGAAACCTTTCAGACTTAAAAAAACATTCAGGATTCAATAAATATAAAGCAAAAGTTTAGCATCTGTGATAAGTAATTCTGACTTTTTCCATTCAGTTTTATCCTTGACACAATTTACAACCACCTAGAATAAAAATACACAAGGCCAAGAAATACATAAAAATACACACAATTTTAAAAGCCAGAACATTCAGTAACTACAAAATTTAAACATTAGACAACTTTACAGCTCAAATAATACAGTGGGGGACATATTTATTTGATCCCCTGCTGATTTTGCAAGTTTGCCCACTTACAAAGAAATGAAGGGTCTGTAATTTTTAGGTTTATTTTAACGGATAGAGACAGAATATCAACCAAAAAAATCCAGAAAAAACACATTATATAAAGGTTAGAAATTGATTTGAATTTCAGTGAGTGAAATAAGTATTTGATCCCCTACCAACCAGCAAGAATTCTCCCACAGACTGGTTATGTGCCCATGTGGAACACAGATTAGTCCTGAAGCTACTCCTAATGTCATCTCGTTAGGTGTATAAGACACCTGTCCACACAATCTGTATCTTCCATTCCAACCTCTCCCACCACCATGGGCAAGACCAAAGAGCTGTCAATGGATGTCAGAGACAAGATTGTAGATCTGCACAAGGCTTAAATGGGCAACAAGACCACCAGCAAGAAGCTTGGAGAGAATGAGACAACTGATGGTGCGATTTTTCGGAAATGGAAGAAATACAAAACAACCATCAATCGGCCTCGGTCTGGAGCTCCGTGCAAGATCTTGCCTCATGGGGTAAGGATGATCATGAGAAAGGTGAGGGATCAGCCCCCAACTACACGGGAGGAGCTTGTTAATGATCTTAAGGCAGTTGGGACCACAGTCACCAAGCAAACCATTGGTAACACACTACACCGCAATGGACTGAAATCCTGCAGAGCCCGCAAGGTCCCCCTGCTCAAGAAGGCACATGTACAGGCCCTTTTAAAGTTTGCGAATGAACATCTAAATGATTCAGAGAAGGCTTGGGAGAAAGTGCTGTGGTCAGATGAGACCAAAATTGAGCTCTTTGGCATTAACTCGACTCGCCGTGTTTGGAGGGAGAGAAATGCTGACTATGACGCCAAGAACAGCATCCCTACAGTCAAGCACGGAGGTGGAAACATTATGCTCTGGGGCTGTTTTTCTGCTAAGGGTACAGGACGACTTCACCGCATTGAGGGGCAAATGGACGGGACCATGAACTGTAAAATCTTGGACGAGAACCTCCTTCCCTCAGCCAGAACACTGAAGATGGGTCATGGATGGGTCTTCCAGCATGACAATGACCCGAAATATACAGCCAAGGCAACAAAGCAGTGGCTCAAGAAGAAGCGCATTAAGGTCATGGAGTGGCCTAGCCAGTCTCCAGACCTCAATCCTATAGAAATCTGTTGAGGGAGCTGAAACTTTGAGTTGCCAAACGACAGCCAAGAAACCTTAAGGATTTAGAGAGGATCTGTAAAGAGGAGTGGATCAAAATCCCTCCTGAGATGTGTACAAATCTGGTGACCAACTACAAAAAACGTCTTACCTCTGTGCTTGCCAACAAGGGTTTCTGCACCAAGTACTAAGTCATGTTAGAAAACAATTTCTAACCTTTATATAAGTGGGCAAACTTACAAAATCAGCAGGGTATCAAATAAATATGTTCCCCACTGTAAGCATATAATAATTAACAACCAATATGAGCCTCTTATTTCTTTTTTTAAAAAAAGGCAAATATTTGTAATATAAAAAATAACATTTTTATAAAAGTTTTTTAAAATAATTATTTTCTGTGAAAATGTCAGTATCATTAATATATGTACTGCAATGAGTATATGCTCATTTTCTGCATTTGCAAGCAGCATGTTCCTCTTTCAAAGCAGGTTGATTTTCCAATCGGATGTGCTAGATAGCAGGTGTTCAGTTTTGTCGACTGTGAAGAAGTTTTTTAGCTTTGTTTGTATAATCAAAACAATATGCCACCACCTCACCTATCCCACCATCTCTGCCTCACACCAGGTGTGTGTAGCGTTCGCCTTTCAAACCTAATGGCGCTGAAGCTGTAACTATGAAAATGGCAAGCCCAGCCTCAGGATATAAATCATTAAATACTCTGTTATTGTGAAACACAATCACTTTTGAGAGCACATGGCGTGGCGGTAGAAGCTCAGCTGAAGGCCGGAGCTCAATTCTTTCAGATCTATTTTTGAATAGCGATTGAATGAACAGCTGCTAAATATTTCATAAGAGAAAAGAGACTAGGTCATGGTAAGGAAGACCAAAAAAGGGCCAATTTATTGAACTTACGGAGAGAGAGATAGATACATGAAACCATAACAGGAAGCGAGTCCTGTCCTTGAAGGGTTGGACGGGGGCACAAACAGGGGAAGTGATTCTATCAGATCTTGTGTATCCCGTTTCTGCTGAACTGGAAATGGCCAAAGGTTGAATCGCTGCAATAATATCCATTATGTACAGTATGTAAGCCCAAAGGGCACCAATGGCATCTGTACTGCTTTTGACAGAACGGTTTAGATATCTGACTCTTTATGCTCTGTACACAATTACAGTTTCCGCAGCACCAGATGTGATACCCGATGCGGCCACTGCAGCAACCGACACTGGCTTTGTTGCAAGCAATCCACTTTCTGTTCTTCCTGAGGTTACTGATTCATCTGCCTCATCCTCTGGCGGCACTGCAACAACAATTAATACGGACATCCAAGCAATATCTACTGCAACCATGGCAACAACACCTTCTGCAACCATGGCAACTTCTGAAACAACATCTTCAGCATCAGCTAGCACCATTCAACTGCCAACATCTCTTGCTGTTGATGCAGTTTCCCTTGTTTCTGATGGATCTCTAGTGGAAGTGGGTGCAATGGTTACAGCAAATACTGCAGTAAACTTAATTACAAGCACAGTTATGTCCTCAACCGATGCAGTGATGAAGACAGTTGATGCACTCCCTCCAGACATTGATTTGATTGTCCCAGCATCTGATGTTCCTCTAACTCCCACATCTGATGGTGATGCACCTGCAACTGATGCCGTCGCAGCTGTAACAGATGCTCCAGCAACAGTTACAGTTTCTCCTGAGATTGCTTCCATTGCCCCAGGAACTTCAGACTCAGATGCTCCTGAAAGTCCAGGTGATGCAGAAGCAACCAATGTGTCTAATGAAATGAAACCTGCTCCTGAAGAGCCAGGTGATGGTGCTGAAATTGTCACCGCAGGTGCGGAAACAGTCACTGATCCTGCTCCTCAACCTAATGCTGAGACTGACAGTAAACCTCCATCCGAAGTAGGAGAGAAGAGTGAAGTTCCTCTTGTTGAGACCAAGGAAAAAACAGCGATAAATATGGAGAAGACAGATAAAGATGCTCCTGAAAGTAAACCTCCATCTGAAGTAGGAGAGAAGAGTGAAGTTCCTCTTGCTGAGACCAACGAGGGGAAAACAGCAACGAACTTGGAGAAGAAAGATAAAGATGCTCCTGAAAGTAAACCTCAATCTAAAGTAGGAGAAAACAGTGAAGTTCCTCTAGCTGAGTCCAAGGAGAAAAAAACAGCAACAAACTTGGAGAAGAAAGATAAAAATGTAAAAGCCCCAGGTACCCACAGCAAATCTGACATCTGAATTTTCTGACAAGTATAATCCCTACTAAAGTGCAATTTACACAATGATACACTTTTAAAGCTTTTAGAGCTTCAGGAGTTCATTTTGGAGGTGCAATCTGTTGAGGTTTGTGTCACACAACCCAAATTGCCTTCAGAACAGTATGCCAGAGGCCTGCCTCTCTTAAAGGAATAGTAAATGAAAATTCCGTCCAAGGAGAAAAAAACAGCAACAAACTTGGAGAAGAAAGATAAAAATGTAAAAGCCCCAGGTACCCACAGCAAATCTGACATCTGAATTTTCTGACAAGTATAATCCCTACTAAAGTGCAATTTACACAATGATACACTTTTAAAGGAGCTTCAGGAGTTCATTTTGGAGGTGCAATCTGTTGAGGTTTGTGTCACACAACCCAAATTGCCTTCAGAACAGTATGCCAGAGGCCTGCCTCTCTTAAAGGAATAGTAAATGAAAATTCTGTCATCATTTACTCACCCTTATGTCATTCCAAACCGGTATGACTTACGTTCTTCTGTGGAACACAAAAGGTGTTGTTTGGCAAAATGACAGCCTCAGTCACCATTCACTTTAATTATACGGGGAAAAATCTAAAATTTGTATGGAATATTCTATATAAATAAAATATCCTTTTGATTCCTTTTCCACTGAGGAAAGCAAGTCATATGGGATTGGAATGACAAAAGGATGAGTAAATAATGATAGATTTGTTATTTTGAGTGAACTATCCCTTTAAAACAAAACACTGAAGTTTTATACAGTATAACTACTATTCTATTATTTTAATAAACAATACTGATTCTGACAGAACGAACTGATTAAACAAATTAATTACACAACCTGGTTAGGACCTTTGGGGGGTTCAAGCCTTAATTCGATTTTCTCGCAAGTGAACAGACCTTTGTACATTCCATGAAATAGCGTTTAAAACAATATCCTTAAATATTCAACCACTATGTCAGCATAAAACTAATCATGTATCAGATTTGAACAATGAAGAAAATGAACTAAATAAAAATAAAACACTTTCAAACACTCATGATCTCTCTGGTGTAAACAGTATCTGGTGACATTAAGAAGAAGAACGAGGCTGGGAAAACCGGAGACAGCAGGGAAGCCAAAGAGGAAAAGAAAGAGAAGGAAAAAAAGAAAGAAAAAGATTATGAAAAGAAAGACTATGAGAAGAAAGGTATACAGCATTTGTCGTTGAGTGTGTGCACCGTGCGTAGCTACACTGTAGAAATGACACAAACAGATACTGCACTCATCTGACACGACGCTTAACGTTTTAAATGACTGCGGTCTGAAAATGCATTTCTGCTTGACTGCATTGTATCTTCCAGTACTGCTGCTGTGGATGAGATGGAGTATCTGTTAGTGAAGAACATTTACAGCTTGTAGCGTATTGATTGGTTTAGCTTCCATTAGATCCACAAGAAAGAAACTCTAAACCCTAGTTTCCTCTAGTTTTAGGCTGTTTTGTTTACAACATCAGCTTTCCTAAATAACAGTAGCATCATTCCAGTGTATCTCGTTTCACATTTTAGGCCCTTACTGTGAATTTTTTCACATTGTTGAGTGATTTGTGCCAACAGTGCAGCTGTGTTAGCCAACAAAGAGAATGACGTTGCTTTTATTCTAAAGTTGTTGCGAGGATTTTGATCCCTGGGGGGCCAAAAACACAGTTGTCAAGAATAGCGTACATCAGATTTCAAGGTAAGGCAATGCTTTAAATCAAGATAGCAAACAGACGTTATTTTCAGAGTTTTAATGACATTTTATGTGAATGATGTATTTATATGCATTAGCGCTCCTGTAGGCAATGCTTATCAAAGGACAATTCGGTTTTGATTTCTGTTTTTGTGAATATGGACAGACACTAATATGGAAACTGTGGAAAAATTGCTTCCTAAATGTTATTCATTTCCTCTCTTCCATGTCGCCCTTTCTTGTCTCTCTTTTCTTCGTGCTCGCATGTTTTGTTTTTTGCTTTGTCTCATAAGGTAAGCCGCTCATGATGTATTGTGTTTGCTAGAAAACAGAAGGATCTCCCCCAGGCTGTATAATCAAAAGCGTCCTCTTCTAGAAAGTAGCTACTTTGCATTTTCACTCGTCGAGTGCTAGACAGCTGTCTGCTGAAGATGCAAGATCGTTTGTGAAACATCGCTCCATCCCTTCACCAATCTGGGGAGTAATTGAGCATTTATATTTAATTAGCTGCTCTTGCCCCCCATCCCACTGCTTAGCTGACTGTGACACAGCAGGACCCCTACGTCGCCAGCATCTTTAAAACATCATATCAATTATTCAAAGCCCCAAGTGTCCAAACAGCAAAGAATTGAAAAGATCAGCTTCTTAAACACAACTTTAACAGCAGCTCATTATCTCTGTTTATCAGTGTCCTGTCCATTTAAACTGCCCTACAGGTGGGTTTATTCACTCATACTGATGACTTTCTACTGTTTAGTCAGTCTGTTTGGAGATGTCTAAGATACTGTGTTACGTAAAAGCATCCCAAAAATCCTTCAAATGTAATCTGAGAAAAATTTAAGCGCTAAAAAAAATTCACTAAATATCTGAAAATTCAGCCATACCAATAAGCCAAATGGAATCGTTTGGTATGTGCAGAGCAAATTAGAAGACTTTGTCCACAAAATTCTATCTATAGATAAAACATATAATATTTGTTTAATGCATAAATAAAACGATGTATAACAGTAATAGGGAACAAATAGCAAAAATTAATTTTTCTCATTTTGTCTCTCATAGTTGAGGTATACCTATGATGAAAATTACAGGCCTCTCTCATCTTTTTAAGTGGGAGAACTTGCACAATTGGTGGCTGACTAAATACTTTTTTGCCCCACTGTATACATAATAAATATACACAGTACACACACATTTAGTATGTAAACATAAACTTTTATTTTGAATCGATTCGAGACTTCTGTAAATATCTGTAAAATTGTTTGAAAAAATAATCCCAATCCCCAAAATTCTCCATAAACTTACATTAGATAAAAGCAATAAGTGGACAGCCACAGTTGTTAAGGTAGGATTTGTCAGTAATGTTTTTGAGGCTGGACTGGAAATCAACTGGCTAATATGGTCTGTAATCTAATTCACATAATTTTTTTAAGGTAGTGTTAAATGCCTGCCAGCTTTTCCAGCTGGCTAAATGATGCGACTAATCGTTTTTGCAGCCCTACTTTCAAGCAACTGTGTCAGCATGTTTATTTGGGAATGAAGGCGACAGCCTGTACTTCTGTAAATATCTGTAAAATTGTTTGAAAAAATAATCCCAATCCCCAAAATTCTCCATAAACTTACATTAGAATAAGTGGACAGCCACAGTTGTTAAGGTAGGATTTGTCAGTAATGTTTTTGAGGCTGGACTGGAAATCAACTGGCTAATATGGTCTGTAATCTAATTCACATAATTTTTTTAAGGTAGTGTTAAATGCCTGCCAGCTTTTCCAGCTGGCTAAATAGTCTAGTTTATAGTCTTCTTAGTGTCTACATGTCATGCCCATGTCCTCTCATCCACGAGTTTCCTGTGTCTTTTCCCCTTCCAGTCCCTCATTCCCTGTTCCACAGACTAACACCTATCTACTCTTTCTCCATCAGACTGCGAGTGCAACGGTCACTCAAATCGCTGCAGTTACATTGATTTCATCAACATTGTGACTTGTGTGAGCTGCAAACACAACACTAGAGGGCAGAACTGTCAGCACTGCCGCCTCGGGTACTTCCGGAATGCTTCTGCTGAGCTGGACGATGAGAATGTTTGCATAGGTCAGTCAGATATCATTCCACACCAATCCGTTTCACTCTTCCCCTGACGCACCCACACCATGCCACTCAGAAATTGTCCTTTCTGGCCAAATGATATGTATTGAATTGGAAAGGTCGAGAAATCTTTCCTCATTTGCATACGGTCCAACATTTGGTCTGCCAGCACCTTGCCATACATGTGACAATTTCTGACCTACTGAAGTCCAACAGAAGTATGGATTTAAATATACTAATATCATGCATCATTCATTTTAGAGACTCGCAAGAAATCTTCTCCTAGACTCCCATCTTCGTTTACTTGAGATCTAGGAAACTGAACAACTTGCATTTTTAACTGTCCAGCTTAAAACTATCAATATCTGTATTGATATGAGAGTAGCACAAAGAAAATGTGATTCGGAAAAAAAGCAATTTTGTACTCTTTTGTGCATGATCTTAAAGTCAACATGAAATGCCACATGCAACCCATTTTACTTCCTTAATGTAATACTTCAAAGTATAATACCGGATATTTAACAAGAAAAAAACAAAACATAAAAAGCACAGTTGGATGGGATTGAATTTTATCTGTAATAATTGACTGAATTTTAAAAAGTGGACAGTACACGGTAAAACTGAAAAGAGAGATTTGTGATTTTTACGTCACAGGCGTTTTGACATTTTGATAAAAGATTATGAAGACAAAATATTTTCTTGGGAAGAAAAATGAATCATTCACTATAAGACAAGGAATGTGTATTAAAAAGTAAATAGAATGCATTTCGATTTCATGTTGACTTTAAAATGGGGGACAGAAGAAATACAATCAGAAGGCGTAAGATTAATATATATTTTTCTTTTTGATGAAAACTGTTCCAAAAGCTGTTCAAGCAATCTGTCACAACACTTTGTTAATGATACAGTGACCTCTACTGGAAAAATACACACACATAAATCACTGCGCTATGACTGACAGCTGCCAAGATGGACAAATTATGCCCTTGTGAATGCATAGAGCAAACCCTGCTTACATGACTGATGAACAACCACTGATCACATAAAACTGACAACTCGCAAACATAGAAGTGAATTTCTAACACATGTGAATATATGCCTATTGCCTTCAGGCTATGCTACATTGCCTTTAGGCGAAATGCTGTAATTTTGAAACACTGTACATAATTTTTTTTTTATAAACATTAATTTTCCTGGAGGTCCACTAATACTGTTATTTATGACTATTTACCACATATTTTTGTGACCCTCAGAATTGTACAGGTCATTTTTGCTGCTGTGCCATTAAGACTTTTATGTAAACAGTTTTTCTTATGCAAAATGCTATGTGGCACTGTTCTGCACGATTACTTAAAGGAATAGTTCACCCAAAAATGAAAATTTGCAAAAAATGTACTAACCCTCAGGCCAACCAGGATGTAGAAAAGTTTTTCTTCATTGGAACAAATTTGATAAATATAGCATTACATCTCTTGCTCACCAATGGATCCTCTGCAGTGAATGGGTGCCGTCAGAATGAGAGTCCAAACAGCTGATAAAAACATCACAATAATCCACAAGCAACTGGCACAACTCCAATCCATTAATCATTAAGGCATTTTAACTTCAAAATGTTGCTTCCAGCTAAAATAAAAGCCCTCTATCAATAGTATTGCTTTCTCCAGTCATCTTGTCTGGAATGGATCAGGTGAGAAATATGCACAGATCAACCATAGTTTACAAGCAAAAACAGTCCAAAAAATGTCTAAAGAAATGTGCTGGTTGATGTTGATGTGAGAGGACAACAGGGCATGGAGGTGGTGCATTGGTGAGCAAGTGACGTAATGCTGAATTTCTCCAAATCTGTTCACACGAAGAAACAAACTCATCTACATCTTGGATTGCCTGAGAATACATTTTAAGCAAATTTTACTATTTCTTTAAGAGCTGCAGGTTTGCTCTCGAGTTCAACACAGTTTTACTGCCCCATTAGGAACATAGTTAAATATAGTTTCTAACTATAGCCTTCAATATGCAAAGCAGTAATATTGGTAGCATGAAACAAGCTACAGTGTTTTCGTAGTTCAATGAAATCTATCACAAAATAAAGAGAACATAGCCGCCTTCTCAAGGTTTCAGCACAAATAATCTACAATTGCTGAACAGAGGTGGACAAAGTACTCAACTCCACTGCTGGTCAAATATTACTCCATTACAAGTAAAAGTTGTAAAGACAGATTTTTACTTGAGTAAAAGTACAGAAGTACTTGCTTTTAAAAGTACTTAAGTAGCAAAAGTAAATTTCATTTTTTATGTCAATGCACTGTTTTATTGTTGTACGTAGTAGTACTTACAATACTTCTGAAGCAACTTATAATACATTACACCTACTGAATACAGTACAGTGAAATCCTGTAAATACAGAGTGATAAAAAAAATCAAACCTGCTTTAAAACCCAGCAACACAACTGTAGCTGTGTAACTTTACAACAGCAACACTGCTTTAACAAAAAAGCAAAACAGCAAGACTGTACTTTGATGTCACACACAGAACAGTCTGTGCAGTGCTGCTTCAGTCAAACACCTATTGTGTTTTATTAGGAGATGCACAACAGTTTTTCTGTGGCTTTATAGGTAATATTTTCACCTACACAATTTAGCAAAATCAGAAAATATTGTGTGTAATGTATACCACAATATTAACTTCTTATTATTGAATTGTTGCATTTGCAACTGGTCAGTGTTCAAAAAATACTGGGAAATCTCTTCATGTACACTCTTAAAAATAAAGGTGCTTCAAAAGGTTCATCACAGCGATGCCATAGAAGAACCATTTTTGGTTCCACAAAGAACCATTCAGTCAAAGGTTCTTTAAAGAACCATCTCTTTCTTACCTTTTTATAATCTGAAGAACCTTCTTTCGCCACATAGAACCTTTTGTGAAACAGGAAGGTTCTTCAGATGTTAAAGGTTCTTTATGGAACCATTTAGACAAAAAGGTTCTTCTATGGCATCCTGAAGCACCTTTATTTTTAAGAGTGTAGCCCTACAAGAGTGATTACTGATAAACTGTCTGAAAAAAAGAAAGTCATGTTTTAGAGAAGAAAAAAATCACCCACTGACTTTCAAAGCTGCTGCATAGTAACGACTTTCTACTTCGAGGACCTTGATAGAAATGTAGTGGAGTGAAAAGTACAATATTTGTCTTTCAAATGTAGTGAAATTGAAGTCATAAGTTCCCAGAAAAAATAATACTCAAGTAAAGTACAGATACTCAAAAAGTGTACTTAAGTACAAAACTCAAGTAAATGTACTTAGTTACTGTCCGCCTCTGTTGCTGAATAACGTATATATTTTCTATACACAGAGTGTAACTGTAATCAGCTGGGCTCCTTTCACGCCCGGTGCAATGACACAGGCTTCTGCCAGTGTCGAGAGGGCAGCACGGGCCAGAAGTGTGAGGACTGCCTGCCTGGATATACCTGGAAGCAAGGCTGCGTGCGTAAGTCACACTTCCTTCACAAAGGCATTAAACACAGGCTTAGTCATTAAAGACACATTCTGTGATGGATGATACCACTCGTACAACAAATAAAGTGCTGTGAACGAACAACATATGGGTGTCATTTCACTCAAACATATGAGCAACATTGTTGTTACTCACAGAGGTCTTTGCTGTTGTACTACCAATAACAACCTGCTGTTTGCAGCAGTTGTGCATTATAGATACTTGTGGGTGGGGTGATACAGTGGCTAAAGCAGTGAGGCAGGGTAAGAAGAAGGCTGATGGTTCAAACCTAGCAAAGAATTGGTTGTATAATGAAACACTGTCAGCCAAGGACTAGAAAGCAGCCCAAAACCTACACCAGCTTATCACAACTCACCACTACCGAAATGACTGTTACACAAATATACACTTGATTGTGACAGCTCCCAGTTCTTCAGGCACTCAGGAAAACGTTTTTTTTTTTTAGATTAACACTTTATACTAAATGATCTGAAAATAATGTGTATATGGGATTCTAATGCCCAGTCTCCAAAAGACTGGTGGAGGTCTGTAGATTTCCATCATTATTGCTGGATCACAAATTATAATCGTTCACAGGTCATCATTATCGTCTCTGCTCTAATTAGACCTGGTTTTCAGGCAGGCATTGCATAAACCTTGAAATAATAAAATGACCTGTTTTTTTGACTGCTTTTTAAATTCTAACTCAATTTACTGTGAGGTGCAGTTTCATTCATTCATTTCTAATAATAAACAAATTATAATTCAATATTTAATGGGACTTTATACACTGATTATTATTATCTATATTTTTTTATTAATACTTTTATTCAGCAATGGGTAACAATAAATGATGCATAATTTAATGCAAGTAACTCTAGGCCAAACCATACAGTAAGTACATGTAGTTAATTAATATTACTCAGTACTTAAATGTATAATTACACTTTAACAAGGAAACCTTAAAATAAAGTATAACCCAGCAATGCATTAAACTGATGTAAAAGATTTTCACTTTACTAAAAAAAAAAAAAAAGACAATTTCTAATAAATGCTGTTCTTTTTAGCTTTCGTTACATCAAAGAATCCTGGAAAAGAAATGTATCACAGTTTCAACAAAAATATTAAGCAGCACAACTGTTTTCAGTATTAATAATCAAATTGGCTAATCTTGTTTAGCAAATCATATTAGAATGATTTCTGAAGGATCATGTGACACTGAACAAATTATACTTAAAATTTATTTTAAATTTTAATAATTTTTTGAACAAATAAATGCTTGGTGAGCGTAAGACTTCTTCCAAAAATATTTGTAAAATCTTACCAACCTTGAACGTTTGAACAGCGGTGTACGTATATTAGTTTACAGACAGTTGGCCCACAAGTTCACCAAAAAAAAAAGAAAAAAAAAAAGCAAACATAGATAACCTTTGGTCCCTCTCACTGAAAATGAATCCCTTCTAGTTAACTGTCAGTGTGAACACCTTAAATCACTCCGAGTAAAAGATATCAGCTAAATGAATACTGACGTTTAGGATGAAAAAATGTAACCTAACTTTAAGACAACAGAACAATCCCTTAAAACATGATCTATCTGCAGATCTGTGAGTAGTGTTACAAGGGCACCTGACAAATGATTACTTAGATCATCTTTATGTTTAGAGACATGTAACATCATTAATGAGAATCTCCCCTCTGTCCTTCCCAGCAAACGTGTGTGACGATGAGCTCCTCCGGTGTCAGAACGGTGGCTCCTGCATCCAGAACCAGAAGTGCGTGTGTCCGCCCAGCTTTAGAGGTGTTTTGTGCGAGCAGCCACGCTGCCAGGGCGAGAAAGGGTGCGACGGCGCATCGGCCTGCTACCTCAGCACACTGACGCTGCTGCTCTGCCTTCTAGCCAACAGCCTGCTTAAAGCCAGCGCCTAGAAACCCATCTTAGTCCTGATATCGATCCTAGTCTACGCAGGCCAAAGGGCTGAACCCTGCGGATGGAGAGAGAGTGGCCTGGACCCGTACGGACCCAGCCTCACGGTGCTGAAATCTTTTTTGGAAATGGCGGCGGCTGCGCTGAGGTCAAAACGCCTTCATGAGACGAGCAGTTTATTTCTCGTCTACTAGCATCACTGATCGCCTGAACTTTATACCAAAAACAGAATAAAAACAACTTAAGTCAGTTTCAGCTCACTCTACACAAAACTCTACAGAAAGTGGAGAAATATATAGATGCGGATTCATTTCCTTTGCATTTCTACTTTCTCTGTAGTTTCGGCGCTCACCGAGGTACAAGCACTGCACTTAGCTAGCTTGTTTTAGCGAACAACAAACGGTCGATATCACGGAAGCCTACTTATGCCAAGTTATTCTTCTTCTCTTGAAGACTTGTTTTTACGTTTCCTTTCATTGCTGCATTTTTCCTCGCATTTTATTGCCATTGAGGTTGTAACAAGTAGATGAAACCGATGGAAAAGATGTTTAATCGCCGAATGAATGTCTCTATAGCTTGTGTTTGAGATTATGTTTATGGAATGTAGAAAGAGGTTTTAAATTGTCACACTGAACAAATATACATATATCAGTCTACCTGAAAGGAAATATGAAGTATTGTATATTATGATTATTATTATTTCAATATTTTTTGTAGAAATTGTTATTTTTGTTGAGTAATGGTTACCATTGTAAAGACATTGCAACCTTTATTGCAGTGCATATGGTATTCACACCATGGTAAAACTATATTTGATGATACATCAGAGTGCATCTCTAATATATTTGGAATATTTCTCCATTCATATCATTAAATAAAGCATAAACGGTTCATTACATGCACAGCTTTAGCTCAATGTAACCTGCACATCATCTTGTTACTGGCATGCATTCATCAGTGCAGATATGACCATTCAGGACTGCTTATTAACACAGGATGATAAGTACATTCCTAAAGCACAAAGTCCCACAAACCCCCAAAAAATACTAGATAATTATGAAGCACAGAAAGAAAGAAAAAATGCATCGTCAAGCAACACAATTAGAATGGCCATTCAGATTAACAATTAATGTTAATTAAATCACGAAATCAGGTTATTTTTCAACAAATTTTATTTTCCTTGCGTGAGTCTCAAAGAAATGCCAAAATCTTTAGCGGCTCATGGGCTTTTTGATGTATTTCATATTTACAAATGCTTTACATTCATGATGAGCCAGGGTAAATAAAATACTATCAATAAATATTATAAATGAATAAAGCCTGACAATCAGAAAGCACAAAGAGACGTGAGTGAATTGTCTTTCTTTACACTCTGTCCTTCTATATTCATATGAAAGCTTTACAGTTGCAGCATTACACCGGCACAACAGTCACGGCAGCTCTAATAAGGGTAATTAATATCAGGCCATTTTTATTCCTTAGAAAGTTTCACAAGGTGAATCAGCTGTATATATGTCTACAGACCCAGAATCAAATGTGCTGAGCCGTTTGCATTGCTCTAACCACCTGCACTGAAATAAATAAATATACCCTTAATAACACACAACTTGAGTCAGCAGAGCTTATGCAAAGTGGAGACTTTTGCTTTCTGGAAACTAATAAATAAGAGTTAAATACAAACTACTCACAGAAATAGATTGCATGCTGTGTAACATACAACGTATTATGCAATTAGCACTGGAAATTCCAGATGGGGTTATTGCACGTGTAGTGGGCTCATTTATGTTTAAGCTCCATAACCTTGTAATTTATGAAAGCACTGGGAAATATGCTCTGATCAGAAAAAACTAACATGATGGAAATAAAGAGCTAAAGTTAGCCATTGCCTAGTGAGGGATTGACAGTTTGCTTACATGATGTTGTCAATTTGATGTTAATTTTGAAATATTTTAAAGCATAATTTGTAGTGTTGATATTTCTAGATTATTATCAATCAGCATGGAATGCTTTAAAGTGATAATATAAAAAAAAATCACAAAATTCATCAAATCGGTTGCTAATACTTAGCAATGATTGAGCTGTTGTTCATATTGTCACTTCCTAGAAGTTCCTAGAAGTGGAAGGAACGAGCTTTTGGTAGTTAAAGGGATTGATTTTCAATTAAAACCCAGAACAGAATTAGCATTTGAGTCATAGGTTCCCAATTTTTTTCTTATGGGAAGTAATCCCTCATATATGAATTTAAAAGCTGCTGTGCTTTTAAAACATTTAAATTGTGGTCCGCCATCAATTATTATGATTCATTAAAACTAACACCATAAAAATGTAAATAAATAATGTGAACAAAACAGGTTATTTCAGCTTGTTTAAATTTCTTATCTAGCTTAACTATTGAGTATGCATAAAAACTATATATATAAAAAAAAAATAATAAAAGGGCAAAACGAATGAAAGGTCTAAAACTTTAAAATAAAATAAAACAGAAAAATAAAAGGTAAACGTTCAAAACATTAAAAGCAAAAAATTTGAAATTTTAATAAACTACAATAGAATACTAGGATAACAAGATTGAAAGCGATTTTGAGGACACATTTAAATATTTAACAGTGAATTAATGTCAACTATTTCTGATAGAAACATTTGCGATAGAGGAAAAGATAAAATATGTTTCCATTTTAGAAGTGTAAAGGGGTACACCAGCTCAAACCAAAGTTTAAACTGTGATTAACTGTGATAGTAATAAAAAAGAACTAATAATTAAACTAAATATGATCCACTATTTAGAAGTGTTTGCGACGTGAAAACGTACTGCATCGTAGGAATGACCCTGTAACTTTCATTCTGAAACTGTGCTCTGTCTTTTTAAGGGAGTAAAAAAGCGTGATGTCATAGACATGCGACTAAATGTCCTGTGCGCTTGTTTAGCCGGTGGGACTGACTCACATGGGTTATGTAAATACAGTGGGCAAATAACTGCACTTTATTCATTTCATTTAATGAACTGTGTGTATTAAGAGTGAATGATGCATCGTGTTTTCTGCTCGCGGTGGGTTTTATCCGGGTTGTCAGTGACAGCTGGCATATGCATCGGTGCCACCTTGACAGCAACCGGCGATCGCCTTAACAGAACCCGCGGCGGACTGCTGGACCGCATCCCGGTCATCCCGGTCCCGAGCGTCGACGCAGCGGCAGAGATTAGCCCGTACCAGCCGGGACAGGTCGCTGTAAGCAGATCCACAGCTGTGATGAAGTACGGCTTCCCTTCCCTGTCCAGCATCAAGAGCAGAGAGTCGTACGTGACTTCATACGACCCCAGAAACAGGAGCGCAGCCTGGGTCATAGAGCAGCTCAACGCCGAGACAGTAACCGGGACTTCGGACAGAAAGTTCTGCGATTTCAAAGAGGACGACTCGGTTCATGTTTACCACAGATCGAGCAAAGCGGATTACAAGGGCAGTGGGTTTGACAGAGGTCACCTGGCCGCAGCAGCCAACCACAAATGGAGTCAGAAAGCCATGGATGACACCTTCTACCTGAGCAATGTGTCACCACAGGTGAGCAACTCGCACTGTATAACAGCTGCTCCAGCCTCTTCCTGCAGTCTTACTGCAAACAGCAGTTAAGTAAGTACACTTAAAATGACATTTATCCTGAGATGATATTAATAATCTATTTTGAAATGCCACATATAACCATGTGTTATATGTCACTTATTTTTAAATATGCATTTATCCGTGATTTCTTCAGTATTAATAATTGGAACTCATGAAGTTATATAACTGTCTAATCAATTAAGAGAAAAGTATTTTAAAAAATATCCCAAATATGTTTAAAATGCTACCTATGAAGTATTTATTATTACGTTCTTGTTACTTTTTTATTATTTATTAAAACTTTGAGCTTTGATCATTTATTTTTAACAATAAAACTTCTACTGAATTTATTTAAAAAATATATAAATTCTATATATATATGATTATGTTTATAATCAATGTTTAAGATGCCTCTTTAAAAAGTATTTAAATTATTTTTGATTACAAATCATTTGTTTAGTATTAATAATTAAACCATTATTGAATTTATATAAGTGTCAATGTCAATCAAGATGTTTTATATATCAAAAAAATAAAAAGTAGATATTAATAAACACTGTTTAAAATGCCACCGATAATAATGCATTTAATTTATTTTTTATAATTATTAATCATTTGTTTATTATCAGTTAATGAATTTATGTGTCTAATCAATAAGTCACCTATGACAATGAATTTAACTTATTTTTGTCTATTTATTAATAATTGATTCTTATTAATAATTAAACTTTTACTGCATTTATATAAATGTCTAAACAATTATGATTTAAAAAATACATTTGTTTTGGTTATTAAAACTCTTCTTCATTCTGTGGTATTCAAATTCTTACTCATTAATTGAAAAGGAAGTAATTCATTAATTTTGTAGTTCTTTGTGTAGGTAAGAACAAAAGTGTAGGCTAGATTTCCACGAGCACCTCATTTTATACAATCCATAAAACCACCAATCATTTAAAGAGTTTGCTTATTCGTTATTTTTCTATTTGTATGGCTAATTATGGCTGTTAATATTGCGGATATCTTTCCCAACAGAATCCTCATCTAAACCAGAATGCATGGAATAACTTGGAGAAATATTGTCGCTCCCTCACCAAGCATTACCAGAATGTCTTTGTGTGCACTGGACCACTCTACTTACCCCGGTAAAAGCCTCTCAGTATGCTCTTGAGAAGCACTGCTCGAGATATTTCAAATTAGCCTGAAATCAAGATATACGAAACTATTTAATCAACTGATATTTTAATGAATTGATAGAACCTAATTTTTCCCTCCCTACACCTACAGACAGGAACCCGATGGGAAAATGTATGTGAAGTATCAGGTTTTGGGAAAGAACCATGTAGCCGTGCCGACTCACTTCTTTAAGGTGGTGATTCTGGAAAAGCCAAGAGGAGACGTGGAGCTGCGGTCCTATGTGATGCCCAATATGCCGGTCGATGAGAAGATTCCACTGGAACGCTTCCTGGTTCCCATCGAGAGCATCGAGAGAGCGTCTGGACTGCTGTTCGTACCAAACATCATGAAGAGGACCAGCAGTCTGAAAGCCATTACTGCAGGCTAGTGAAGAGTTTACAGTGATTACTGAGGGGGAATGGAAAATACCTCAAAAAGTCAAGCATTTATAAAGTTAGCAGGGAAATTATTTAATTTTCAATATATGTGGAAAGACTACTGAGAGAGATATATCAGTCACTGGCACAGGCTGACAGTCTAATGCTGTAGCCTATTGTTTAATAGGGGAGCTTTTTGTATCATTACTGTTTTTAGATGTCAGCCAATATGATTTTTAACCAAGCCAAAACTCTGTGTGAAATTAGATTTTAATTTCAACTGTGAAATATCATTTGTACTACTGGAAATAAAACAAATCTGTAATCCTTAAAATCATATTTGTGTTTTTTATTCAGGTTTGATGATGATGGTTTAGAAGTGAATGGTATTTAGAAACAATATCTGTTTTAATCCTCTCAAAATAACCTAAATTCATGATTGTCAACACATTAAAACTGCACAAGCCCATAATTTACCACATAATTGAACTATATACCCAAGTATACAATCTACAGTGTGTATGAGGCAACAGGCCTGGAAATAAGACATCTTCAAGGACGAATTTAGTTGACGTTAATGGGCATTTAGAAAGACAAATAACACTGAATATGACTGCTGGTGAAGTACCAGCGAAGTTCTCACCCAGCATTAAATATTAGTTTGTTTATATGTTTTTGCCACAGAAACTTAGTATACACAGTCTGTGATAACCTGCAAAAGTTTTGCTGGGACAAAACAGCCTACAAAACTAACTAACTATCATATCTGGTTCATTTCATTCAGAAATTAAACTTAAACTCGTAAATCTTCCATTGATAAATCGTTCATCGATGGCGTTCAAACTGCAACCAAGTTCGTCGACGTCATCGTCTGTTTGCATACTGCATTTCGATTGGTCTTTTTTTCTTACATTAACCTTCACGATGAACTGTGATTGGTCTTGTCTTGCTTGCATATTATTTAACCATTTATTTGTCACTTTTACTTATGAGGCTGACGTGAAATCAGCAAGAGGCCGTTTTGTTTGCATATTATTTAATATTAAAAAGGCTGACATCCCTGAATTCAAACCTAAATAAATATATAAACGTACAACTTGTGCACAGTTCTGTCAAAACCATCTGATACAGTATACCACGAATATTATTTTAATATTTCAGGTCTTTGTATGCATATATATATTATTTTTCTACCTTCAAGCACTGCTATATATATATATATAGATATAGATATTTTTTTTTAGAAAATTCAAATCTAGATTGTCAATATGGTTCAGTTGTTTGTATAAACATCATAAATGCTATAAACTGGGTCAATATCCTATATCTAACCAATATACATCTGCCTTAAAAAATCAATTACAAAAATGATGTGCCCATCCACTTGAAAAGCACTAGATGGCACTATGGTCTCAAACAACACTGTTACATTTTAAAAGAGACTGTGATTTTGCCATTATGAAGAGGTCAAGGTTTTGGTTAGCATGGTCCAGTTAGCTATAATAACACAAAAACATTTTTCTCCATTGATTTACATTCAAAAGTAGCAGTGTATTTTTATAAAATATAAAAGGTTTTGCTTTATATACATCACAAATATTTTATTTTATTATACCACAGCTGATGTTTTAAAGAAAGACGTTAGTGATGACACTCATGGACAAATACTTTGCTTTTATTTTGAATGGCACTCACTGAAGTGCACCCATCTTGACAATGGCATTCTACATGGATATATACATTCTGTCCATAGCATTTACTTAACTTTACACAAGTGAAACAATATATCTTTTTCTCAACAACAGTATTTTTCTCGGACTGTACAGTAAACTAACGAATAAAGTAAGAACCTTGAAATAGCTAAATAAAACTTTAATAATTCTAGAGGCAATTGTACATGAATTGCACTGAACATTTTCTTCAACACAAATGAATTCTCATATATTGGTATGTCTTCTGATCATGTATGTACATGTGGCAAAACTGTTAGCGTAGCTCTGAAACATACATACAAAAGATGTAGAGGTAAAGCAGAAAACACTGTGGAGATTTTATATGGTTTTTGATATATAATCATGCCAAACAGGAAAAAGTTGTCTTCCTTTAAATGAAGTGACAATAAACAGCAGCCCTTTGACTTTCACATAACGTATTACAAAAATGAAAATTTGATGTTTATCTGCTTACCCCCAGGGCATCCAAGATGTAGGTGACTTTGTTTCTTCAGTAGAACACAAACAAAGATTTTTAACTCAAATCGTTGCAGTCTGTCAGTCATATAATGGAAGTGAATTGACACTCTATCTACAATCTCAATTAGGAGTGTCAATGGTCCATTGAGAGATAGGTGGCGGTAATGCACTTATAAGTCTGCGATCCACCGTAAAGCAAGAAGAAGAAGAAGATGCGTCACGCGCCGGCTGTTGAGAATGCGCTCAGGACAGTTCGGACATTGCGGTGAATCAGAGGTAAAAAACAATATAAATACTGTTCAGTTTCTTGCACAGACCGATCGTTTCGTGTCTTTACACATCAATGTATTGTCACGAGCTGCAGGGTTTAATTTGGTTTTGTTTGTGTATGTTTTTTTGACTCTCAAAGCCGTGATTCCCATTCACTTACATTATATGACAGACAGACTGCAACGGTTTGAGTTAAAAATCTTAGTTTGTGCTCTTCTGAAGAAACAAAGTCACCTACATCTTGGATGCCCTGGGGGTAAGTAGATAAACAGCAAATTTTCATTTTTGGGTGAACTATCCCTTTAAGGGAGTTAAACATGTTTTAATGTGCCATACTATTGCCTTCAAAAGTTTGTTGAAGTCCAGACATGTTTTGTTTGCTTGTTTTCAATTTCTCTGAATTAAAACAGGCAAGTATAAAGATGTGGTCACATTATCGGAATTTCTGCAAAAGTTCACAGGCAAAAAAGGTCCTTTGTTTATTCTGAATAATGTAGTGACACATGAAGCCTAACTCACACAGAAGTCACTTTCAAACCAAGCAGCTTTCTGTTGGTCAGCATTGGCGAATTCACGTGATCAACATGAACCCATTGCAAACTGGGAAATTTATCGCCCACACATGAAATTACTGATTGCTTTTGTAATGATTGGATTTTGCCTGTGAAAATTTGCCTAACAGTGGTTAATGAGACCTCACCTTAAGTCTTAAAAGTAAAGTATGTAATTTCTGCATCACTAGCCTAACCAACTGCAACTGCAAAAACAATGAATGTTTTCAGACAGGTTTCTCGAACTCAGTTGTTTGAATAAACAGACAGTTCTTCCTTCAACCTCACACCAGTGGTATTGTGACATCCCAAAAAAAATCTTCCAACTTTAAAGAAATGTAAAGTCACTATGAAACCAAAATGGTAAATGATTCATTATTATTATTATTCTTTTTAATTCATGCGTCCTCATGTGCTCTCCCCTTGCAACGACATCTCTTCTCAGATGTGATCACAGCAATTAGCAAACAATCCAACAATCCACTCAATTCCCCATCAACAAAATCAAGTCCAGTCCTACATTTTTTATCGTTCAAGAAGCCATTTCACCCGGATATACATCACAATTCATAGTTTTCAGTCACGTGACTGGTTCGAAGCCCTGGAGGGCAAAACATCCATGGAACTGCAGCACAAGCCTGTCAATTTTCCATCCATTTCCAAGCCACAAATATTTAGATCACCTCTCAAAAGAATAAATCAAAGACATGTGGGGGAAAAAATGCAAGTTTTGGCAATATTTCAATCACTAAAAACATTGGGATATTCAAAAATGTTTAATGTGAAAAACACTTAAAGTACCTTAATGTATTAAAAGAGTGATATGAAAATATCAAGAACAGTATACACCTTATTGATGATACTGTTCATACTTTGTATAGGCAAGCAGATGATCCCAGAATGCAATGCGTGTTTTTTTTAATGGGAAAAATTTATTTCATGTGAAACTTTGCACATAGTGTTTATATTCTGGGTTCATCTGCCTGCCTGTACAACGTATGCGTCATTAATAAGGTGTATACTGAATTTGGCCTTAATAATATAGTAATATAGTGTCTTACTATATTACTACTTAATACAAGCCTCATAACAATAACTTGCGGAAAGGTGTGTTTTGCCCTCCAGATGGGCATTCCTGTAGGGGTGTGACGTCACGTCAAAACTAGGAATAGGGAAAAGATGAGCTCAACTTCTGTTCTGTTCACACTCAGCATTCAAACTTCAACAAGTACTCTTAATTTTGGGGTTAAAACAACAAATGTAGCTGAATAAATAAATTAACTAAACATAATTTAAAACATAAATTAAACAAATCAATTCCAAAAAACAGTTAAACAGAGCATACTTTCTCTCGAGCTTGTATGAAAAAAAAATGAAAAAAAAACAAAACAGAGAATACTAAATAAATGGAGATGTCTGATATGACGTTTATACACAAAGTGGTTTGCCCTTGCAGTTTTTCCAGAATTATTGTCCCAAATAAACCGATGTGAATATTTATACATAAAGAAACACTGACAGTCTTCAAACTCTTCTCCACGGACCTGATTTGAATAAAGTTCAGTGAAGCTAAAACAGGTTCGTCTGATACCGGAGCAAAGGGTCTGTCAGCAGCAGGGTTGATGCAACTATTGCCGTGCTACTCGTTTGATGCAAACTGCATCTGAAGAGCAGAAAACATCACAACCTTTAAGTAAAAAACCAGCCACGTACCCTTCACACATCAACTCAAGTGCTGAATGCTATATGCTTTGTACTTGCTGCTCTGAATAGCCTTTATAACAAGTCCACAGAAGCAGGTTTTGGTTAAAGGGTCCATTCTAATGCTATAGAAAGTGCATTGAGTGGAAGAAAGACATCGTAGGGGACACACACACCGATTGTACTGCAGGTACGATGCTGGATACGGAGTCTAATACTGGCCAACAGCAAGCAGTATGAGGACGTTTCTATCCACGGCGTTGATAGCAGAGGGGTTAAAGTGTGTCGTCGTCTTTGCCCTGTCTAGAAGCAGCACCTGAATATACAATCAGAGCTTACATTGTTTTGTTTGTTTTTCTTCTAAATAAAGTACAGCAGACCTCAGCACAGGAAATACACACTGTACGAAAAAAGAAAATCTCTTTTCTCTGAAAAGCCCATAAAAAACTATATACATTAAAGAGGCGCATCGCCTCTGTATAGACTAAAATGTTAAGCACATACAAAAAAAGTATGCAACAAAATGCAATGTTTAAAAGTCCTCTCTTTAACCTTACAAAAAAAGCGAGCGGTTTGTGCTACTGCTGCCCTGGAGTGACGCAAGCAACAAAAGTGATGTTTACATGAAATGTACACAATAAAAAGAAAGCGGAAAATAGTGTTTCAACAAATAATTACATTATTATCATGCCAAGCCCAATCAAAAGATGTACGTATATGCACAGTTCAAATCTAGAGATGATACAGAATCTGGTCACGGCTTACATCGGTGACCGAGTGGCTCTCGTGACAAGGGCTATGAATGAAGCATCATGGGACATCTGTGTGTGGCTAATAATCTAAAAGGATTCAAAAAGACACATTAGCCTTTATATTCTGAATGAAAAAAACAACATTGTGCAACTCAATCCAATTCGTTCCCAATAGTTATTTTCGACCCAGTACTAGGGGCTTTGTGAAGTCAATTGAACCCCCGCCGTATTGTAAGAGAGTTACCCATAGCCCTTGTCCATCACTAGCCCTTAGGCCTGTGTTGTGTGTTTGTGTCCAAGCTAGCAGTTGCTGCTGTTCCGAAATTCACCGTTTTCTGTGATCTGCAGCTTGGTAGGGTTGGTGGGAGAGATGCCGTTCCTCGTTTGCATGCTGTAACGATCCTTCAGCTGAGACAGAGCGCTCATTAGCCGGGAGTTTGCGGCGTCCAGGGATGCGATTCTCTTCTCCTGTGTGGAGTGACCATTAATGGAGGTCAGATAGGAGAAGGTGATTAACAGTGCATGATATTTAATGTTTAATTAAAGTCTTTCTTCTCCGCAACGGACGCAAGGTGACTGGCACTCTCTAGTTTGAAACATTACAGACTAGTTACGCCGTCTAAACACCATAAAATGAATTCACAGAGTTTAAATTAAAATTCATGCGGCGATAGCAGTAATCTCTCCTTGTCTTTATAAAATAAATCTATGATGTAAACAGTCTTTAATGATTTTGATGAGTGCTAAAGCGAGTCCACAGTGGGTGGTTTTTATGCTCATCAAACTGTTTACGAGAGACGCTGATTGCCCCCGGGAGGACACAGGCGTTCATCATTAAACTTTCAGATACATTAACACCATTAAACCTCAGAGACCAACTCACAACATCATGCTGAAATCTAAACCAAACACAAGAGGGCGCTATGACCCTGCAAATGAGTCAATATAAACACCTGAGACCATTATTGAAAATTGTGCTTTTTTTTTTTTTATAGAAAATGATACTTTAAATGATATTGACAGCATAACAGCTTGAGTGAAAAGCTAACATTGATTTATTTTTTAGTATTCAGTATGCACCCCTACTGCTTTAATGACAGCTGCACTCAAGCTGACACGGACTGATAATAATTTTCTACTGCCTGATTTGAGAATGATCCAAAAAGCATCTTGTGCTTCAATGGAATTAATTTTTCTTTCTTTCTTTTTTTTTGTACAAACATGATTAATGTCACAAATCTGTTTATTTGATTAGTAGCTTAAAAAGAGTGCAGAATGTCTTTTATCTTTATCTTTATGTTTTTGAAAGTCTCTTGTGCTCACAAAACAGTTATCATTTATATATTTACATTTACAATTTTTTTATTTACAGTAAAAAATAGTAATATTATGAAATATTTTTTTTAATATACAGTGGGTACGGAAAGTATTCAGACCCCCTTAAATTTTTCACTCTTTGTTATATTGCAGCCATTTGCTAAAATAATTTAAGTTCATTTTTTTTCCTCATTAATGTACACACAGCACCCCATATTGACAGAAAAACACAGCATTGTTGACATTTTTGCAGATTTATTAAAAAAGAAAAACTGAAATATCACATGGTCCTAAGTATTCAGACCCTTTGCTCAGTATTTAGTAGAAGCACCCTTTTGATCTAATACAGCCATGAGTCTTTTTGGGAAAGATGCAACAAGTTGTTCACACCTGGATTTGGGGATCCTCTGCCATCCCTCCTTGCAGATCCTCTCCAGTTCGGTCAGGTTGGATGGTAAACGTTGGTGAACAGCCATTTTTAGGTCTCTCCAGAGATGCTCAATTGGGTTTAAGTCAGGGCCCTGGCTGGATTTTAGCAAATGGCTGCAATATTGTTAAGAGTGAAAATTTTAAGGGGGTCTGAATACTTTCCGTACCCACTGTATATTCTATTTTGATATGAAAATGTAATTTATTCCTGTGATGCAAATATGAATTTTCAGCATCAATTTCTCCAGTCTTCAGCATCACGTGATCCTTCAGAAATCATTCTAAAATGACTGGCTTCCTCAAAAAACATTTGATGCGCCGAAAAATTCTCATTATTATCAATGTTGAAAACTGTTGTTTGGTAATATTTTTGTGGAAACCATGAAAGATTTTTGTCAAGGTTCTTTGGTAAATAAAAAGTTAAAAATAGCAGCATTTATTTATTTTTTGGTAGCAATGTAAAAGTCTCCACTGTCACTAATCAATTTAATGCATCCTTGCTGAATAAAAGTCTGAATATTAATTTCTTTCTTTCTTTTTATAGATCATACTGATCTCAAGCAGTATAAATATGATAAAGTGTATATTTTAAGTTTTTATATTTTATAAAAATATTTTAAAATTTTTTGCAGTTCACTTTTTTTTTTGCAAATCCCACTGCTGTGTGACCAAATATTTTTAGTCTCTCATTTAATATGAGCTCATTAAACCACATAATAATTATACAAAAATTAGCTAAATGCTGTTTAAAGTAGTGTTTGATGGAGTATAGCGTGTCTTTTTCACTTAAATTAAGATTCTAGATGCAAAAGCATCAGTCGAACGGCATCATGAAAACTATTTGATTACAGCAAACATTGCCTTGGCTTGAAAATGTTATTTATTAAAAAAATGTAAATTAATAAAAACATATAAACAATGATTTGATATTTAATTCACCTGGGCTTCGATGATTTTCTGTTTGGAGTCTACAATTGCCTGCATGTCTGCGTGATCTTTCTTCAGCTCCTCTTCAACTGACATCAACCTGAAACATAAAATTGCCACATCCATCTTTATGCTACAGATGCTACTTCAGTGCTTAACTGAACTAGAGAATAATACTTAAAATTCCATCAGAAGTTTATGTAGGATGCATACATATTCAAACAGTACATTTTGAACCCTAGTAATTTCTAATGGATCACAACTTATGGGGTTTGAACCTACAATGTTTCAGTTTCTAGATCAGATCTTTAATCACAAGACCACACTAAATCGTCACCTGGTGATGATGCTCTTCATCTGGTGCTCTTTCTCATCCTGCTGCTTGCGTAATCGCTCCTCCGTGTCCTCAAGCCGGGCCTGGTACTCCAGGAGCATCTTCTGGGTTTGGTCATCCTGGCTCTTCATGTGAGATTCATACTCTTCCAGCTTCTTAGCAGAAATACGCAGCTTCTCCTGCAGGACAGCAATCTCGTGCTGATACTGAGGAGGACAAAGAGAGAATGAAGAACTCTAATAGCAGGATTAGAGAGCAACAAAAGCTGTGTAAAGAGGGAGTTCTCGGGTGTGTACGGCTGTGATTTGAAATGCATATTACACGAACAGAGCCCTGCTAATCATCCCGTATCTGTCTGCTAAGCCCAGGAAATCCAGCAAAGCTGTATGAAATATATCTAAATAGGTGCTACTGAATATTTCAAAGATGAACTTTTCATGTATTTTGGGGCAATCCTGTAGAGTATGCTGCTAACAACACCAACGTCAACTTGAAATCAATGTGTCTGCCACATGCATACACGTATATTATTTTACGTAATTTTCACTTGAAAAAATATATTTCTATCATGACAACTCTTGGAGGGTTTAGCATGGTAATATACATGACAATGTTAATGTGTTTGGTCTTGGCGGAATAGATCTGCTATGCTGCTGCGGCAGAGCAAGTACAGACTTGCTACTGCCAATACATCCACAACATACTGCTGTGAACATGTAAGAAATACTGCTGCTGCACATATAACATATATGAAATAACCCCCATATATAACATACATGAATAACCCCATAGCAGATCTATACAGGTGGAGCTGGGGAAGGTGGAGGGTTTCTGAAGTGTGATGCAACTGCTACAGCAAGCACTAGTTATATATTTGAATGTTGAGCAGCGAGCTCATTGGCTACTGATACAGGAGAGAATCAATCAGCTGTGCCATGTGATAATGATGTCATTAGGTCAGACTGAGTATCGGACTGCGCCATCTAGAGTTTCATGCCAGAACTCTGTATATTACACAAACAGAGCCCTGCTAATCATCCCGTATCTGTCTGCTAAGCCCGGGAAATCCAGCAAAGCTGTATGAAATATATCTAAATAGGTGCTACTGAATATTTCAAAGATGCACTTTTCATATGTTTTGGGGCAATCCTGTAGCTTGTCTTTGTTGCATTGACTAGAAATAAAGACAGCATATCTTAACATTTTTAGCTCTTCAAGTAAATTGATCTTGTTTTTGGGATGTTTACATATTTTATATATATAAAAAAAAGACAGACATACTGATTTAGAAAATTATTTTTGCTGTGTTGTTGCGTCAGGCAATTCAGAAATTAAGAAAGTGTAGCACAAAATGTTTTATGCAGTCGTTCGGAGAAGAAATTTTTTGAGAACTCACTCTTGATAGTCTCCATCTTGAGATTCTGCTTGGTTAAGGGCTTATAGATACAGAAACCCACTGCTTTATAAATATGCAAAGACTTGGAATAATAAGCCTAGTTTTCTGTGTTTTTTCGTCTTGTGATTTTGCATCTAGACTAAAACACTGTTGTGCAATAAGCTACATTCCCTGTAGAGGATTCAACCAATCTTCACAGTATCACTTACATTAACAGCTTCAAACAGCACAGATGCAGTGTGGTTCTGCAGAGGGAGAAGCTTGAGTATGTGAGTGTACACACTCAGTGCACTCCGACGGGCTCATTATTCATTAAAGAGCCGGGGAAAGAGACGGCAGACAAGCCTGAGCCAGGCGTGTGCTCTCCATTATTGCAGTATAGTGATTTGAGCCTGTCCTCCTAAATTACAACACCTCAGAGATCAAAAGTCAGCTTCATCTATAGTCTGTTTCAATTGCAGTCTTGCTCTTCGAACATCTACCTGTCTGCAGTTTGACATCCACAGTCCTCGTATCAGTTTAGGACACAATGCAGTGACTAAGCAACTGGATCTGAGCCTAAAATATCCTCAAATCTGGGTGCTTGGAACAAAAACCTTGGACAGTTCAGTGTTTCTTGGAAAATGGTTTAAAATGTTTAGGATAGCAATTTACACTATGTTTAAAAGTTTGGGGTCAGATTTTTAAAATACTTTTTGACAAGTCTCATTATCACAAAGGCCGTACTTATTTACTATATTTATAAATAATATGATTATTTATATATTATTATTACAATTTAAAATAACTGTTTCTATTTTAATATATTTTAAAAAGTAATTTATTCCTAAATTTTCAGCAGCCATGTCTCAAGTCTTTATTGTCACATGATCCTTCAGAAATCAGACTAATAAGCTGATTCAGTGCGCAAGTAACATTTCTTATTACTATTAATGTTGAAAACATTTAATATTTGCTTAATATTTTTGTGGAAACTGTGATAAATTTTTTTCCAGGACTCTCTGATGAAAAGAAAGTTCACAACATTTATTTGAAATATAAATCTTTTGTAACATTATAAACATATTCACTGTCCCTTTTGATCGATTATATGCTTCTTTGCTGAATAAAAGTACTAATTAAAAAAAAAAACTTTTTTGAATGGTATTATGGCAAATGCTGAGCTAATGAATATTAATTAGGTTTACATGATTGGTCATTCCAGGAAGGTTACCTAGCAGCATCAGCATGACGTTAATAATTTTCATAAACATGTCCTCACAGAAAGTCCATTATGTTCCAGAGATGACAAATAGTGAAACTAGCTAATATATTTGATAAGAAATCATCATTGTCTGCAAGCGCTTCCTGTCTGTGTGCCCGTGGGAGGCCAGTTTTGATCAAACAAACAGTAAGCCTGCTGTATTTCTGCATATACTGCTGTTTTTCGTGCTGCCGAGCCACAGGATGAGGTTTCATTATTACCTTTTCAGTTGGGGTGAGATCCTCCTTGTTTGGAAAGTCCTCCCGGTGTTTCGAATCTGGGTCAATTCCCTCCTGCTCCAAATATTGCACATTCATATTCAGCAGCCACGCAGCAGTGCGGTTCAACGCATTGGGATTCACAGGAGATGGAGCCTAATAAAAGTTCATTCAAACACACACACACACACACACACAAATACATAATTGTATTATAATTAGCCATTCTAACATCTATATTACTCTCAAATTTGTTAGTTTTCACTCATGCACACAAACAAACAAGTGCTTTAAAACTTTACAAGGTGACAACAACACTTGTGCTTGCTAGGAAAAGAATTTGATCATTTTTTAATGAAGATTCATTCCACAGACATCAAAGTAACAGTCTGGATAATGTGAGCAGCCATTTAATCACTAGCGCAGTGCTTGCGCTCCAGCAATTAATTCTGCTTGTCTGCTCCATTCCTTTCGCCTTTGACGGTGAGAGGGCTGCTCGTTCGTCTCAACCTAAGAGCCTCGATGTACCATCAATGCACCAAAAGACTCATTAACCCCTGAGAGATCTGAGTGCCAATTTGTTTTAAGGATATCAGCCGAGTGCTAGCTAATTTAGTGGTATCTAAATTAGCTATGGGAATGTAGCAACTCACAGACCTATTGAGACATAAAGGATGTGATCGGTTTTAAAATTCTATCTCTTGAGAACATGGAACTTTGAAAAGTATCTTTTTCTTGATTGTAGCAATAATTACAATGATTAGGTTTATAATATTTCTGAAAAAAATGTGAATGGCGCCTGCCTTGCAAAACCTGCCGCCACAATTCTAATTGTCGTTGTGTGATGCTATGCAGTTGCTGTGGATTTCGGAGTGCTTATTAGCATGTATGTTGCTAGGGTTTTCTGTTGGGTTGTTAGGTGCCTGCTTGTTAGAATAACTCAAGACGAGCCAACCCTCAATCCTCAATGATATTTTGATCTCCAGATGTAACTTGGGTCTTATCTATTTGATTTTCTAAAAAAGTTTATTGTCCAGGCAAAAATCATAGGTTTAATTTCCTAAAAAAAATATATATAAATAAATAAATAAATAACAAAACATTTTGTAATGGCATATGGAGGCTAGCACATGACGTGGAAAAAACTAATATAATGGCAATGACTTCACACAAATTACTAATTAAGGTTATCTTTTATTAATTCATTTCCTCGCTGTAGTTAAATAATATCTTGTTTTTTTTTTACCCCCTGCATGTCATGTGCGGGGTTCCATAATGGCAAACAAAATAAAATAACAACAAAAAACTATATAGACATATTGAAAAAAAAAAAAAAAAAAGGTTAAAAAAATGACTATATATATATATATAAAAGCTATGAATAAAATAATAACAATAAAATATTTATAATTAATATTAATTATTAAATAATCAAATTATTCAAAAAAATAATAGTATAATAGTATCTCAATTATGCTAAAATACATTAGTCCCATTATAGCCACTAGTTTTACATCTAAACTTTTGAAGTTTAATTTAATTTAATTTAATTTTAAACAAATAAAACAATGTTAAAAACGTTTTAAAAGACATTTGGATATATTAGAACTGTAACAAGTAAAATAAATGAATAAAATCTACCTTAAGTAAAATTTTTGCCAGAGCAAATCTGACTAAAATTAATGTATATGACATGATCATGTGTATGATTTAGTAAAATTTAAAGGGTATTTTCATCAAAAGAAAAAAAGTGTAAAATGAACTCACTTGTTTGTGTAGGGTGCGCTGCTTGGATTCTGGACTGTCCCCTTTGGAGGACGACGACTGCTGTCTCAGTCTGGTGCCGCTGCTTGGCCAATCAGGAGATGATGACATCATACTTCCACTGGAGGGGCGGGGGTACGGTGCGGTGTTGAGCATGTTGGGTGGAGTGCGGCCCCTTGTGACGGCTGGAGGAGGCTGATCTATCCGGCGCTGCGGCCCCGCGCTGTTCTGGCGTGGTACGTTGGCTTGGTGTTGGGGCTCCGTGAGGGACAGCTGTCTGCGGGTGAATTCTCCAGAACACCGAATGAACTCATCCCCGCCGCTGGCCCCCATGCTGGACTGGCTCAGGAATGGGTGCTTTGACCCCGCGGTAGCTGCTTCCTCTGCGTTACTCTGGGAGCTGATGGAGCTCTGGCATTCAGATCCCGAATCGGCCACCGCACGGGGCAATCCGGCGGCCATCTGGTACACGGGGTTCTGGAACGAGAGCGGGGCGAGCAGCTGGGACCTCCCCGGGGCGGTTTCTGTGCTCGGTGTGGTGGGGGTCTGACCTGCCCTCCTCAGGGTCGGACCGCTGGGCGTGTTGCCCTTAGCGGTGCGGGTGGTCCACACTCCTGTGCCCTGGCCCACAGAGGTCTGGCTGTCATTGATGGGGTCGCTGAAGGAGGTGTTGGGAGCGCTCTCGAGAGAACGACTGTCCTGCAGGTCCACCATTGACAAGCTCTTGCTGCCGTTGGGGATCTGAACATCTGGCTCGTTGGCCTCCGAGTAACTGGAGCTGCGGGCAGGCGACGGCTGGATTACAGAATTCTTCGTTACGAAAAACAAATCCTTGTTTTCGGGGGTCGGTGAGGGCAGCCGAGTGAAATCCACCAACCTGTCCAAGTGGCAACAGGACAAAATGAAAATCACAGCTGTCCTTTAATTCAAATCAAACTCATTGTTTGCCAATCCAGCTCATTTGCATGGCTAATGGATGTGTGTGTGTGTGCTGATGTGACAGATCACAGTCCTAACACTGTACTTTGACAAAACATGCAAACTAAGTCTCATGACAGAAAAAAGCTACAATAAAATATGTCTTTGATTACTGTGCTAGAGAATAAACCACCCTGAAGAAAAGGAAAGTATGAACAATGTCTTGCTTTGGTGCTCTTTAGTCAAAACAAATCTGTTTCTAATGGAGAAACTGGCCATGTTAACGGCATGCATTATATTGCCAGTTTCTATATTTACACTATCGTTCAAAGTTTGGGTCAGTAAGATTTTGTTTGGAGAGAAATTAAAACTTTCATTCAGCAGTGTGTGCAAATTTTACAAAAGATTTCTTTTTAAAATAAATTCTGTTCTTTTGAACTTTCTTTTAAGCAAAGAATCCTGAAAACAATGTATAATGGCTTTCTGAAAAATATGAAGTGTATTAACTGTTTCAACATATTAAAATAATAATAATAATAACTGTTTTCAACACTGATAATAATTTGAATTGTTTCTTGAGCACCAAATCAGCATATTAGAATGATTTCTGAAGGATCATGTGTCACTGAAGACTGGAGTAATGATGCTGAAAATTCAGCGTTGCATCATAGGAATAAATTACATTTTAAAATGTTTTACAATAGGAAACTGTTCTTTGAATTTTAAGCATATTCCACAATATTACTGTTTTACTGTATTTTTGCCGAGCATAAGAGACCTCTTTGAAAAACATAAAAAAAATCATAAGACCCAAAACTTTTAAACAGTACTGTACATTCATGCATATTCGACAGATGCTTTGATTCAAAGTGACTGACTGTGCATTCAAACAGTATGCATGTTTCTAATAGAACTGAACCCATGGCCCTGACGTTGCTATTACTGTGCTCTTCCAGCTGAGAAAATTAATGCAACAGAGATAGTTAGTAAATAGGTAGTAAAAGATCTAAAAACTAACTATTAAAACGTGAAGATATTTTCAGATGCAAGTAATCTTCTTTGAAAGCACTTGGTGATCAGTAGAGCAGCAAGAGAAGATATGGTATTTTATAAGAGCCTTTCTTGGGACACATTTTACACCTTCATTTTTACCGTATTCCACAACAGAATGATAAAGAGTTTACTAGCTTGCAGTTTTCCCTCTCAGCTTAATTTGCATTTCACAGTGTCGTGTTTAAGACTCCCACCTAAATATATGAGTGCTTTAAAAGTATTTCCCTCATTTCACAGCCTGCCACAGTAAATAGCCATCAACTCACATAGATCACATCCCAGAGCCCACAGAATTAGAATTCTTTGGAGATTTTCTTTTTTTAAGTTTTCAGTTTTTTAAAGCATTTTCAGTTTATCGGTTCTTCAGTTAGAAGCATAAGTAACGCAAAACAAGACTGTATTTTAGCTTTCCAGTTAAATGAGATATTTCTTATTACTCAAGGAAGGACAATAATCTGCAATCTAGACTAGGATGAAACTGAAAAGTCTGGCCTTGATTTACCCTGTGATTTCACTGTCCAAGACCATTTTCTGCAGACCGGTAGACAGGCTGCTGCTGGGTAGAGTGGGGGAGCCCACACGCTCGGTGGGAGATGACATGGGGGCTCCGGTGGGGTTCGTCAGGGCCGAATTCACGTCCCGCAGGATCCGTGCTAAAGGACCCAGCTTAGTGATAGTACTCTACAACACAATACAGAACTGTGAATGACTGAATTCAAACTTGATAGAGCATTGTTAACTCACTCTGTTGAGTACAAGAAATATATTACAACAGAAAAAACACTTAAAATAAATATTAGCTTATTATTCCAGTACAGTTTGAAGCAGACAAGAGAGGCTGTGCTTTACAGTGATTTTAATATGTTAAATGGGTGCTGTTACTTTGAACACAGGTGGAATGTGAATCCTAATGACCAAATTGGTCAGTTGGTGTAAATCCGTACATTTCTACTGATGGTGCACAATTCAGCCTAACAGCAATCTGAATTTTAAAATTGTAACTATTTTTTGGTTTCTAGTAACTTGGTGTACATTTTGTCTAATAAATCTGGCATTGTGCACTACAACGATTGTTGGCTGTTTGATGTATTGCTTTTATCCAAAGTCGCTTTGGATAAAAGTGTCTGCTTAATGCATAAATATAAATGCAAACATCAGCTATTTCACAGTTGAGATCACTAGCTTTGATTGTGGCTCATCCAGTCAGATTTTAGAGCCAGTATTGTCTGTATTTTATCTGAAATAAAAATCCATTCTTCTCAGATAATCACTTCATAAACTAAATTGAGCTTTTTGTAATTTTTCAGAATCTACTAGCTATTTTTTGTTTTACCTCAAATTACACTGAGATGTGATAGTAAGATTTTTTGTGAGAAAAATGATATTTGTTCAATCGCAGACATTCACCTGATCGAGTTGTGAAACGGCTTCTGACAGGAGAGAATGGAGAGTGGAGAGTTCACGGCCCAGGTCAACATAACCCTCGAAGCCTGCTGTGTTTGAGATGGTCTCTGGGTTGGAGATCTCCAGCAGGAAGCGCTGCATGTTGGTCCATTCGTGCTCCAAAAACTGGTTCATGAAGGACATGTACTCCTCCTTACTGCCAAACCTACAACATAAAACACAGTAAATACAGTTTGCTCTGATGAAAATGTACCATCCACAACAGTTTATCAGTATGTTTACATAACTAACTGCAACCACAGAAGTATAATGCATTAAAACTCATGATCAACATCAAATTTCATTGTCATTTCAGTATCATATCATATGTTATAGCTTAATGATAACTTTTTGTAAATAATATGACCCTGGACCACAAAACATAAGGAGATTTATACATAATCTGAAAGCTTTCCATTGATGTATGGTTTGTTAGGATAGGACAATATTTGGCTGAGATACAACTATTTGAAAATCTGGAATCTGAGGGTGCAAAAAAAAATCTAAATATTGAGAAAATCGCCTTTAAAGTTGTCAAAATGAAGTCCTTAGCAATGCATATTACTAATCAAAAATTAAGTTATATGTTTAAGGTAGGAAATTTACAAAATATCTTCATGGAATATGATCTTTACTTAATATCATAATGATTTTTGGCACAAAAGAAAAATCGTAAATTTGACTCATACAATGTATTGTTGGCTATTGCTACAAATATACCTGTGCGACTTATGACTGGTCTTGTGGTCCAGGGTCATATATATATATACATATACATATATATATATATGACGAGTTTGGTTCCAAAACGCTATAAATCCATTTTGATTAATTTGAGTAAAAAAGTGTTTTCTTCACCAAGAAAGTGGCAAGATGAAAACCACAATTTTCTGTTTCAAACTTTCACACAGCATCTTTAGGTTATAATAACATTAAAAATTCAAATCCAGATTTTGATTTTCAAAGATTTATTATAAAATTGTATAATTTTTTCCCCAAAATGCAATAAATCCATGACACGTTTTTTCTTTCCAAAATGCAATAAATCCATTGAATCTAAATATAAATATTGAATATAAAAGTAATTTTTCATATTGAAACTGTTGAAAATACACAACATAGTAAGTTGATCCACATATGACAGCCCCTGAACTTGGTCAATACTAGTCTTATATGCAGGCACTGGACTAAAAATAAACATTCAATCAGTCATAGCTCCCAAAATGAATTCAACGGGTCATCTTGTTAATGCTATAAATTAATTACAACAATAAATGAAAATTTCATCATGAACATACATGAACAACAATATCACATTAAACCACAGAAATTCCAAAATGACATTTCCCTTACATTCAACTTCCAAAAGTGCATTCATTTTTGGCATGTTACATTCAGTTGACTAGTGCGTTACGCTGTATTAACAAAAACATTAATGGCATAAATAAAAACACTTACACGTGACAAGCTATGCAATATCACGTTCATAACCGAATGCGACTCATCTGCGATTATGAACTCAATATAGCAGTGATCTACGGCTCTGTGCATTAAATGCCGCTCCATCTGAAAGCACGTGATGGAGATTTACTATTGTACAGTAGAACGCAGGAGAAGAAATTTCAACACACTTCAGCAATAAATAAAAACACACAATGTTTGTCTAGAGTCATTTGTGCTTATTAGTACGGTTGAACTGGATCATCGAAGGTCAGAAGCAAAGACATTGGTTAATAGAATGGGATTAAATACATAAAGGATATTTGTGTTGTTTACATTTAATTATTGCAGGTTTGCGTCATATTCTGAGTTGCATTATTTTTATTCATTTTGAGGAATACTGAATCTGTTTTTTTTGTTGTTTTTTTTGAGTGAGATGAGTTAATGCATATTCATATATTTATTTTAGAACTGCAGTAACATCTTCTGATTTCTCTCAACATGGGGACAGGAGAGCTGTCAATCAATAAATTGGAAAAACAAGTAACTTGCGTTACTTATTTGAAAAAGTAACTCAGATATTCTCTTGTAAATGAAAAAGTAATGCGTTACTTTACTAGTTACTTGAAAAAAGTTATCTGATTACGTAACTCACGTTACTTGTAATGCGTTACCCCCAACACTGGCCCTAAGTTTGTTTGTTGATCACAAATACAAAATAGATTAGGAAAACTTGGATGCCGGGTGTATTCAAAGCGCCGCCATTACTATCTTGAGTGCGTGGAATGGTGCGCTGTGATTGGTTGTTACAGTTTACAGTGCGTGGAATGGTGCGCTGTGATTGGTTGAGCAGATATATCGCATTCTGCAGAGAAGGGGGACTGGTGTTTGTTGCGGTTTGGAAAAAAAGGGAGGAAACCATGACATAATAACTCGGCGGATATCGCATTTTGCTTAAAATTAAAAATGTACTTTTCAATACCGACCAGATATAATATTGATTTTGGACAAAAATGTGAGAGGTGTACTCACGTCTGTGAGATACTGTAGGTCTGTCTGTCTATCTATCTTCATATATTACATATAATACATTATACATTTTAATGTAATTTTTTGTTTAAATTTAATAATCATTTTAATATACAGTATAAATATATTTCTATTGCATATAAAATAAAGACTGTTTAAGAATATTTCACTCACTCACTCACTCACACACACACACACACACACACACACACACGCATCAGTTTATAATATTGGAATTAACCATTTTAAAATATTACATGAAGCATCCCTAGTAAAAAAGTAATATATTTCAAATGCATTTATTTCATATTAAGCATAGTTCAAATCTAGTAACATATTTACTGACATATCGCTGGAAACTTACTGATACAAAAATTATAATTCAACTTTATTTGGAGTACTACATGTGCACAATGTACATTTCTTAATATTAAACTAAAATGTGTTTTAACATCACTATTGCTGAGGATTGTATGATCTTTGAATAATATCAGTCTTTAAACGCAAGACATATAAAGTGTACCTAAAGTATACTTGCAATAGTTCCACTTTAGCACAATCAAATATACTTAAGTATATCTTTAGTTAGAATTCAGCACTACTTCTGTACAATTAAAGTGCATTAAGTAAAAAATTTGTAGTTCCAATTTAGCAGACTTTAAGTACACCAGTTTAGTATACCAAAAGTACAATTGCAGGGTATTTTTATTAAGTACATAAATATGTAAATGTATCTGTAGTATACTTAGCATGAAATAAATGTAATTCAAATTTGTGTGTATTTATTTTTCACTAAGGATGTTTCCAATAAAAATAAAATTCCCATAAATCTGTCTAGGCCAGGCTGTTGAGATGAGCTGTGTGCATACACTGATATGAGCAGTGAATCTGATGGCATTACCAGTAAGAATTGATGATCTTGCAGAAAGCCAGCTCACAGCACATCTTGAGGTTGCTCTGGTGCTCATGCAGGTCACTGGAGGAGCACTTAGATGGATCCACCTCGCAGTTCTCGTCTGACTCATACAGGGCTTTGATGAACTCACCTGGGACGAATAAAAGTAAACAATGCGGAAACCTCATTTAGCACAGACAGCGTGCAGCCTTCTGAAGAACTGTACTGCTGCTTATATGTTACAGATACACAAGTTGAACAAAGAATTAATATTACTTTTGCAAAAATATTTTTAAAAATGTACTCATGAGATGAGATGCCTAATAAGGGCTGATTATTTTACAGTTCAAAATAAACACCATCTTTGAAGAATTTGCAGTAAATGTTTAGACACATTTCAATTACATCACTTGAATCAACTGAAAATTGATCACTGGCATATCATTCTGTAAGTCAATAAATTAATCAAAGAAAGATTTGGTTTCATTTCGTAAGGCACAAAAATGAACTGCAACTGAAACTATGCTATATGTAAACTGCATCACTTTCTCACAGACTAAACTTTTGAAAGTATTTTCCCAGCATCAAACAAACTCTTTTGAGGGAAACCAAGCCTAAAGCTTCCCCTCCTCACTCAATTTTGCTCCCATATTCGACTTGATATCTTAAATAATTGAACAGAACTTCAAAAACACAGACTACATACACAAAAAAGCAGTAAATTATTGATTATATATTCTCACAAGCATATTTGATGGTCTGCAGAAATTGTAAAGAAAGTATTGCACTGCTTTGATTTGAATGACAATTTTCACAGAGACGTATACACAAAGTCAGTATGTTTTCTTTACCTAAAGCATCCTGAAGGTACTTCTGTCCCACTAGTTTCAGGTACTCCTCTATAGCTTTAGTAGCCAGTGTGTTCTCACGGAATATGAGATGCTCATTGTCTCCACACCGATCCACCTCAGACATCATCAGATCTGTCAGAAAGTCCTGAGCGAGACAAAACATTAAGAAGTCTTTATTGATGAGCAGAATTCCTAGAGATAGACTTTAACTGCTTGAAACCTTAGTTTAAATTATAAATGCTTTCCCTTGACTCTCATTTGTCAGATAACAAAGTTTTACCCAAACTCATCGGTCGAGCAAATGTTGCTGTATCGGACTGATTGGGATGCTTAGACAAATACATCAATGTTTTGAGAAAGTTTTCATACTTTATCAGATAATTCAACTACATTTATAGTTGTTTTTGCATATAAAACTGACAAAAATGGCACACAAATCATGTTGGCTTTAGAACACACACAAAAAAAACTCAAAGGAAAAGACTGTTTTTGTGTCTACTGTGCAGCTTCTGGTCTGTTTCCTCCTTTCTTTCCCCATCTGCCCATCTTTGATCACTCTGTTTTTGAAGTCCCACATTTGATTCTGAACCATCCAGAACCGGGTGTCTGACTGGATGACCTGGAAAACAGCAAATGCATCTGATGGGCCGGATTTTTATTTGGAGTTCAGGAGGCACACAGCAGCTCCAGTCAGGACGTGTTCCAGATTGAGACGGTTATGGATATCCAGCAGGGGAGATGACTCATACACAGTGATAGCGTATTGATCGTGGGATAATGGACATTGTATAGTTCTGCGAGGTCTTGCTGTAATATTCTTTGCCTCACTTACAGTTTTTCCTCTCTCATGATGTGTATCATATGTCTCGGCTCCGCCTTCACTGCACCTGTAATCGGTTTCAGCTGAGCACATCCAAGACCTCAGAAGCCCACGAGTAAACATGCTAATGATTTGTTCTCATGTGGCCCCTGTGAGAGGTCTTTTATAGCCTATAGGCTTAATTTACATTCAAAGTATAATTTACATTCAGAGCTCCAAAACGTACAAAAAGCAAGATAAAAGAAGACTTGTGCACTATACTTAAAAACTCGCAAAACCATCTAATATCTTAAGATAATTTTAATTGTTACTAGTTGAACATTTTAGACGATCAAGATCAAGTCTAAAGATTTCAGAGCTATGCCTGTTGGGAAGATCTTAAGTGAATAATGACAGCATCTGCACTTTTTCTTTTGCACAGAGAACATTAAATTCAAGAGCTGTCTTGAATGTAATGACAGGAAGTGTAATTTACTTAAAGGGGTGGTTCACTGTTTTTTTTCTAGGCTTGATTGTGTTTATGGGGTGCAGTCTAACGTGTGTTAATGCTTCGTTTAAAAAAAAACAACATTATTTTTCACATAATTTACCTTTATTCCACACCGCTCTGTCCCTTCTCTGAGAAACGGGCTGATCTTTTCCTGTTTTTATGAAGCCCCTCCCTCAGAAATAGGCGATGGGCTCTGATTGGTTAGCTGGCCCAGTGTGTTGTGATTGGCTAAACCACCTCTAGTGCGCGTCTAAATGTCCCGCCCCTCACCTCAGCGGCATGTGCTCCGGTTGTATTGTAAACAATGGCGTCGTTAATATCGCTTATCTGTTTGAGCCCGATTGAGAAGCAGAGGATATTATTGAAGAGGATCGTGCAGAACCTGTGCAAGCACGGCTTTTAATGGTAGGCCTATGTTTTTTGTTTGTTGTTGTCTCGTACTTTTAGATATGCTGTTATTTGTAAATGCTACTGCTTATGTTAGCTTTTAATATACGGTTTTATCCTGATTAAAGCTTTAATACAGTACGGCAACTGCACATTTAACGCTTCTCATAGCTATGTGAAAATAAGTGTATAATTGGAACATTTCATTGTTGGAGCTGAGCTGAATGAGAGTGAGAGAGAGAGAGAGGAGAGAGAGAGAGATGCAGAACATGTGCAGAGCAGGGGGACGCGAGGAACAGTATTAAGAACCGCTGCTTTAGCACATTGATTTTGAAACTTGTGAATCCATTAGAATCGTTAAAAGACAGAATCGCGATTCATATATGAATAGATTTTTACGTGCACCTCTAGTTTTCTCTTCCTCTTCTCTAAAGCAGCGCAGCATGGCCTTGCCCCCTTTGCTGCCTTTTCCCAAGGGTGGGGTTTATCTGGGTTTGTGATGTCACGAACCCGGGAAGTAACTTGTTGTAGTCCCTACCAGCCGTTTTTGTAGGCATTAACCACTTAAACTGCCAGAAATTTAAAAGACGATATCTCCGTTTGCATTGAACTTTCAGCTTCATAACTTTGCAAATATTGTTTATGTTCAAACAGCAACATTACACACTAACTAATGTTAAAAAAGTGAAATCGCAAATCAACCACCCCTTTAATTGCAATTCTAAGAAATTCAAACGGTAATGGCTTTGTGGGAAATTACGTTCTTTCACCCTGATCCATAAATCTGCCTGTCTGTCAGTATAAACTATAAACCTTAAAACTTTTTTTTTTTTCAAATATTGATGAAAATCAGGTGGTGAGGGAAAAAAGTATTACAAGAAGACCAAAGATCTATTTTTTCAAATTAAATTAAAGCTATTATGTTTATTAGGTTATTAGCTCTAGTAAAAAAGCAATATATTTCAAATACATTCATTTCATACTAAGTATAGTTCAAATCAATTGACATATTTACTGACATATCGCTCGAGACTTACTGATATAAAAATTATAATTAAACTTTTTTTGGAGTTTACTTGTGCACAATGTACATTTCTTAATATTAAGCCTAAAATGTGTTTTAATGTCACTATTGATGAGGATTTTATGATCTTTGAATAATATTGGTCATTATATGCAAGATATTTAAAGTGTACCTAAAGTATATTTGCAATAGTTCCACTTTAGCGCAATCAAATGTGCTTCAGTATATCGTCTCGGTTACGTATGTAACCCTCGTTCCCTGAAGGAGGGAACGGAGACGTCACGTCGGAGGACCGACAAATTGGGATCTCGCTTAGAGGGACCAATCTACTTCGAGTGTAAACTAAACGAGCCAATGCACATTGGCATGCGATTATTGCATCCAGCTGCTGCTGATCACAGCGTGAGTATAAGTAGGCAGCAGGTGCAGCGCATATTCAGGTTTTCGCGGAGGAGCCGAGCCGGTGACCCGGCCGCTCAGCGGTGGTACAGGAGCTGTGGCGACGGGACGTGACGTCTCCGTTCCCTCCTTCAGGGAACGAGGGTTACATACGTAACCGAGACGTTCCCTTTCAGTCGGTCACTCTCGACGTCACGTCGGAGGACCGACGAATTGGGATCCTACAAAAGGCCACAGCTACTGCCCCTTCCAGTGTCCTGTGGAAGCCACCTACGCCCCTACTTTTTGGCGTAGGCCAGGGCCTGCACAAGAGGACCAGCTACTG